GTAATAAAGGAACTGTTTAAAAAAGGTAAAGCTTGAACTGTTCAAATTCTACAATTTTTAAGGGAATAAGAGGCTACTAATTAAGCCTAACTATCCAAAAGGAAGAGCATTCTAACTGATGAACAAGAATGTTCCTATTGAAGTTCCATCCAACGTGACTGGTAATACCTGGAGAACCAATTCCTTCCCTTCAATGTATTTTGAGAGAAGAAGAAATAATTTTTTTTTTATTTTTTTTATTTATTTCTAGGAGAGAGAAAGAGAGAGACAGCGCGAGCAGGGGAGGGCCAGAGAGAGAGGGAGTCACAGACTGAAACAGGCTCCAGGCTCTGAGCTGGCAGTTAGCACAGAGCCCAAAGCGGGGCTCGAAACCACGAACCGCGAGATCATGACCTAAGCGAAAGCCAGACGCTTAACTGACTAAGCCACCCAGGCGCCCCGAAATAATTTTTTTTTTAATGTTTGTTTATTTTTGGGAGAGAGAAAGACAGAACCTGAGTGGAGGAGGGGCAGAAAGAGAGGAAGGCACAGAATTCAGGGTCTGAGCTGTCAGCACAGAGCCTGACACAGGGCTCGAACTCAAGAACCACAAGACCATGACCTGAGCCGAAGTCAGACACTTAACCAACTGAGCCATCCAGGCACCTTGAAATAAAGATTTTTAAGAAAATCCAAGTCATACCTATAACGGATTTGATTCAATGATCACTTATTAAGGTTTACAAAGCTTCCAATTCACTTGTCAGCAACAAAATATGACTACAAGGAGAGATTCCCAATAAATTGTTTTCACATTGGTTGACACTTTGGTTCCAAAGGAGGATACACCCAGCTTGGCATTCTGCATCTGATTCTTGGAGAAGACACCAGGCTGCCTTCCTACAGAACTTCCTATAGTTCCAAAACTTAAAGCTCTCAAGCAAAACATTTTCAAAAAGCAAGGAGTAGGACAGAGGATGTTGACACAGAGCTGCCCATTTAAATAGAGGCATTTGCCAAGTACGGGGAGAAAAATAAATACACACACACGCATTATCTGTTACTATCATAATTTTCTAACAGGTAGACTATTTTAATGTCAGGAAGTAAAAATGACATAATCTTTAAAAAAAAAAAAAAGACTATATCTGCTTGCCCATCATCACCCCATCACAAGAAATGGCTAAATAGACGTTCACATGGAATGTATGGCTTGGATAATATAGTAGTGTCGGCTACCTGAACAGAGGTGGATTGCACTTCCCAGGTGCCCTCACTGTTAGCTGTGGTCATGTAACATGTGTGGCATTGTAGCCAATGGAATGTGAGTAAAAGTGACCTACACCACTCCCAGCCTGGTCTCTAAACCTCCCACATGCCGTCCTCCAGGTTCTTAACCTTCCAAGGCTGGACTGTGATGCCCAGGGCAACCTTTAAAGCCAAATGTCAAAGGGTGGGGGGGGCTCCTTTTGCCAATAACTGTGGGCAGGAGAGTACTCACCCCATCTCTTCAACCTCAAACCACTTTAGCTCATCAGGTAAGAGAGAAATAAATTTTTTTAAAATATTTTTATGTATTTCTAGGAGAGAGAGAGAGACAGTGTGAGCAGGGGAGGGTCAGAGAGAGAGGGAGTCACAGACTGAAACAGGCTCCAGGCTCTGAGCTGGCAGTCGAGCAGGCAGTCAGCACAGAGCTCGACGCGGGGCCCAAACCCACGAACCGCGAGATCATGACCTAAGCGAAAGTCAGACGCTTAACCGACTAAGCCACCCAGGTGCCCCATGAGAGAGAAATAAATTTCTAATGTGTTTATACCATTACAGATTTTGGGATTATTACAGTGCTTAGTCCACATATGATTTAAAATATGAGCTACAGATTAACAAAAAAAAACTAATTTTTAAAGGACAAAAGATTTGGGGCGCCTGGGTGGCTTAGTCGGTTAAGCGTCCAACTTTCGCTTAGGTCATGATCTCGCGGTTCGTGGGTTCGGGCCCCGCGTTGGGCTCTGTGCTGACTGCCAGCTCAGATCCTGGAGCCTGTTTCAGTCTGTAACTCGCTCTCTCTCTGACCCTCCCCTGCTCACACTGTCTCTCTCTCTCTCTCCTAGAAATTAAAAAAATAAAAAAAAAACATTTAAAAATAAATAAATAAATAAATAAAGGACAAAAGATTTGAACAGCTATGTCAAAAGAACATATGCTAATGGTCACTGAGCACATGAAAAGACAGCTATCTTTATAAATCACGCACAATGCAAATTACAACCATAATGAGACATCATGTCATATCCACAAGAATGGCTGAAATTAAAAGGCTGGTAACACCAGTGTTGACAGGATGTGGAGCAACTGGTACTCTCATATACTGTTGATGGAAGTGTAAAAACACGGTACAAACACTTCAGAAAAAGGCTTAACAGTTTCTCATAAAATATTCACTTACCCCATGACCCAGCAGTTCTACTGCTAGGTATTTCCTAAGAAAGCATATGTGCACAAAAATACTTGTATGAGACTTCTCAAGGTAGCTTTATTTATAGCACCCCAATACTGGAAATAGCCCTCATGTCCAGCAACAGGATAAACAAATGGTGATATATTCATGCAATGGAATACTACTGCTCAGTAATGAAAACAACCAACTACTGATACATGCAGCATCATGAATGAATCTTAAAACATTTTTTTCTCTTTTTACTCTTAAAATATTTTTGATGAATGAAAGAAGTGTCAACACAAAAAAGTACATAATCCAATGGTTAAAAAAAAGTCAAAACAGTGGCTGCATAGGACAAGACTGCAGAGGGTGCCATAAATCACTAGGAAATAGCATGAGGGAACTTTCCAGGGTGACAACAACCTTCTATATATCTTGATGAGGAAATAGGATTCACAAGTGTATATGTTAATCAAAATATCATGGAATGGTACACTTAATATTTGTATATTTCGCTATAGTTATTATCTTAAATATGCAATCAAACACTGAACTCTGTTCAGTTGAAGGCTTAGTGTTTAGGGGTAAAGTCCACTGATGTCTACAACCTAATCTGAAATGCAGCCCCCAAAAAGAGGGAGGTGAATGGATGTGCAAAGAGATGGACAGCTAGAATAACATGTAATAAAAGATACACAGCAAAATGGGGTGAATATATAAGTATACACTGCACAATTCTTTCAACTGCTCTGAATGTTTGAAATTTTCCATAAAAAGCACTGGAAAATTATAAAGTCTACATATGCAAAATTCCTTCTGGAGGATCAGGAGAGGGGAAGGGGATCACCTCAAGAAATAACTCAGAGCAGCTAAGTGTGAAGAACAAGACATCAAAATGACTGCCAACTGGGACCATGCACACAGGCAAAGGAAACAACTATGAGTCACCCGATCACAGATGTGCTTTTGTGAGCCAGATGCTTCACACATAGGCAACCTAGTAGGGAAAATCACCAGTAGGGTCTTAATGATTTAAGAACAGTTACTGATTCTCGAAATGAAGAGAAAAGCTAGTCTCGGAACAAAGGGGGGAGGGTCTTTAAAAATGAATAAATTGTGCTTTATGAAAAACTCACTCCATAGTTCATATTTTTCTCAGTTCACAGAGTATCATGAAAACTTCAGAGTGAACCAGGGTTTAGCTACCACTGGGTATAGACAGAATCCTGGTCCCACCAGCTACATTCTAATCTTAACTCTGCCTCTAGCTGCCTGTCTTTAATTAATAAGACTCCAAGTCTCTCTGGTTCACGTTAGGAACTCAAGAAAAACTGAACTACATTTCTGGCATATAATAAAGGATAAAACAAGAAGAAAGATCTTCCAGGCCCTTAGAAGAGAATGACAGTCTTCTCTGGAGCAGGGAACTACCTATAAAGCGATCCGTGGACACTTAGCTTTAATACCCCAGTTCATGAATACTAAGCTAGTTTTGAGAAAGCGCATTAAGATGAGAAAAAGCATGGCTCTCATCCTCTGCCATTAACCAACTGCCATGGGAACTAAGCAAGTCCCTCACACTCTCTGGGCAATACAAAAGAAAACTCAGATCAGATGCCCTCTCAACTAATCCAACCTGCTCAAAGATGCTGTTTAAGACTCTGCGCCTGTGGATACAGGCCAGGAATGCCTCACCCACCACCACTAAGCTGAAAGCCTTCTCCTTAAAGTGCTTGTTCAGATGTCACCTGCTTTGGGAAAATTTCCAGCCAAGTGCGGTCATTCCCTTTATACTTTACAGATAACCTGTATTAGAGCCTTCACCACGCTGTATGTTAATCATTTGTTTACCTGTGTTGTCTCCCTGACTAGATTTTGAGCTTCCCGATGCTATAGTTCTTGCCTCACTGGCATTTGTACACCTGGTCTCAGCACAGTGATTATGCAGGCACTCAAAGAATACGTGTGAATAAACGCATTAACCAATCCCTATTGTCGCTTTTAGCTCTAAAATGTTAGGCGTGGTGTTTTTTAAATGCAAATAGAATAATGGATGTAAAAAGTCTTTATTAGTCGTTTAATGCCGTGCGCATTGAGTATCCGGTATCATGAGCAGTGTCGGGGACATCGAGAGGATAAAACACGATCCCTGCCCCCATGCAAATATGGAGGCTTGTAGTTATTGCCAGAGCAAGGTCAAGGCTAGAGCCCGGTTCCTACTCCCCCACCCCACCCCACTTCCCTTCTTGCTGCAGCTCTGCCTCTTTCCCCATGAGCCTTCAGTCCTCCCTCAAGCTGCGACCTCTGTCCCAGCTGGCAGAATTGCAAAAATCGGAGCCAATCACCCACGCCCTGCGGCCGACTACAAACCCTGCTGGCGTGCCCCCGGCCCCAGACACCTCTCCCCTCCTCCCCGCGAATGGAACAGTCTTTCGAGACGGGAAAGCAGCGCCCACCCTGGCCTGTGATCAGTGGGACTGGCCCCCGCAACTCGGCAGCGCTGGAGAAGCCGGGCCGTTACTTGCCCACGCCCAGCTCTCTGCGCAAACCTTCGGGCCGGCGCGAGGGCCGCAGGGTATACCTGCGCGCCCCGCTGCTCCTTCCAGTGCTTCATCTGGTCGCTGGCTGGATCTCGGCTGTCCGCCATGGTGTCCGACTGGCTTCGCAGAACGTTGCAGGGAGCCTGGGCTACGCGTCTCCACCCTCCGCTGGAGAACCCGTCTACCGCCGCGCGGCAGAAGTAAGCGACCTCAGGCTCCGCCAGTCCGCCCCGCCCCTCGCCCCGCCCCCGAGGGAGGACCGCCTCCTGATTGGCCGCTCGAGCGCCAGGCAGGATGGGATTGGAAACCAAATATGGGCGGGAGCAGAGGGGCCAGGCGCTAGGCCTCCGGGAGGGAGACGGAACCTGGGGATTGGGAGAGGCCTGAGAGGTGTGTGTAATGGGGGGAGCCCCGCCCTTCCGACCCCAAGACCGCGGGATTCGTGAACCCAGAGCTGGGCTGCGTTAACGGGGGCCTCAGTCTTGCCTCCGGTTATCAGCATTCTTCAGGCTGCCAGGCAAAGTGACGGTTGGTGGCCTACCAGTTTTGCTGAGGGAACGCTTAGGCGCTGCTGGGTGGAGCTTTGAGCTGTAAACACGACCTCAGCTCATTTTAATAAGTCAAAAATCTTGGGATGAATTCCAGGACTCTTCTCCAATGTCACGTTAGTTTTCCTCGATCACAGACTATTTCCACGGAAAAATGAAACATTGACAAGTGCTTCATGGTCTTAATAGTCTAAAATCCTTAGGAAGGAAGTTCAGCCTTTTAGGTTCCCCTTTTTGGACTATCTGCTGTGTGCCAGACGCTGCTAGATGTTTGCCAGGCTGTATCATTTAATTTTCCAATCTCTTGATAAAGTTTTGTTATCTCCAACTTGAAAGAGAACGAATTTGAGGCTTAAGAGAGGTGGAGGAACTTGCCTAATAGGAGTTAAAAGCTAGCAAAATGTCAGAGTCTAGATCCTTGGGGACCTGGGTCCTGAACCAGTATGCTATCCTGCCTTTCTAAGAATAACAATTTTAAAAAATTCTAAGAATTTTAGAATCCTATGTCTTTAAAGAGCCATACTGGAAAATTAAATCTTGAGTGAGTTATTGACTAGTTTGTCACTGTTACCAAATGGCTTGAATGATTTTCCCCCCTCAGGTGCTACGATTTCTCTTTAAACACCTGGATACATATAAATATAATCTTCAAATTAAGAGTGCTCAACTTTTAAATTTGATATTTTTGAATAAAACTGCCTATCATGGGTGGATATAGGATAATGAAACTTTCAGATGTTCTTAACTTTATAAAAGTGTGATATATAAGTTTTATATATATGTAAGTTTATAAAACTTTTGCAGTTCATTGAAAGAGCAAATGATCTTCAGTGCCCTGTGTTTCTCCTTCATTACACTTAACACAACCACAAAGATGCCATTAGCTGTGTGATTTGTGCGGTGTCTTTTGCTACCCACTTCACTCCCACTGCCACCAGAGTATAAACTCCACGAGGACAGGAATCACATTTGACTTGCTCTGTGTTGTATTCTGCACAACTAGAATTTGAGTACTTACTCCATGCCAAAAAATGTTCTAAGATTTTTGTTTGCATTCGTTTAGTTAACCCTCCAAACAACTCTATGTGTTAGGTACTAATATTATCCTCATTTTACAGTTTAAGAAACTGAGGCATGGAGAGGTTAAATAAGTAATTTGTTCAAGATTACACAATTATTAAAGGTTAGAGCCAGGATTCTAGCCTTGTTCATCTCCTGAGCTCATGGCCTGTTGAATAAAAAAAGGTTGAAAAGATCAAACTACTCATTTTCTTCACCGACTAAGATAAATTTCAACCAAGTAAATAAAAAGAGGCCTGGAGGCATGTGTTAACCTTTGATCTTTACATGAACATTGTCCTGTTTATTTTTTTTCTCTGTTTTCTTTAGTGTTGGTTTGGATTCCTAAGGAATTTCCAGTGAAAGAGAAATGGAGAAACAAGACACTTTCAGATCATGTCAAATCTTGTATATTAAAGTAAGGTATGTGCTTACAAGTAATGACAATGAATTTGTATTGGCTACACTGGTAGCATTATATTCACTGGCTTTACAACTATAGTCTAATTATAGTTTAAGTGAAAACAGCTCTAAGAAACAGCCCTAATTTAAAAATACATTAAACTAAATCTATTTGACTCTTAAAGGTAATCCCAAGTGATTGGTTCAGTAAACAAATTTGGTCCCAGATTTTTATATTTTACTAATACAAACATGTGAGTATTTTCATTAGTGTTGAATACAATTGCTATTTAGAAAATACTGCTCTATGATTATTCAGAACCCAGTGAAATAAAATATACTGGCACAAAACATAATGTTATTAATCCTGATATCACCAAATCAAAAACCAAACCTACAAAATAGGCCATACAATAACTGTTGAAGAGAAAAGTCTGGGCACTCAACTAGGAAACTTTATTGAAAATTTTCTTCAATCAGTATTTGAAAGAATGGAGAGGGGGAACTATGTCTTATTGGATGACAGGTATTAATACAGCGCAGCATGAGATTAATTGAAACTGAGATAATTATTTCCATTCTGATTCCACCCACCCTGTGAGGGGCTGAGAATATTCCACATGTTTTGATTTCATTCTTTTCACAATGGGCTTATGGTGTAACCTGGGGATAGAGAGAGGGGTAGAAAAAAAGAACAGAGTGTAAAAGAGAAGAGATATGTCACAACCCAGAATGCCCTGTGAGGGAAAGACAGTGGACACTACCACAGAATGGTATGTGTATGTTTTCAACCCCTTGTGGACTAGTCCTGAGCATACAGGAGAGGGAAACCCAATTTGCAAAAAGTGAAAATGGTTCTATATGTGTAAAACAGGTTTATATGTATAAAATCGGCATGTACCTTCTACTCTGCCTATTTTGCTTTACCACACATTACTTCTACTCTAATAAGAACAATTACTTGGGGCACCTGGGTGGCTCAGTTGGCTAAGCATCTGACTTTGGCTCACCTCATGATCTCATGGTTTGTGGGTTTGAGCCCCGTATCGGGCTCTGTGCCTCTGTGCTGACAGCTCAGAGCCTGGAACCTACTTCAGATTCTCTCTCTCTCTCTCTCTCTCTCTCTCAAAATTAAACATTAAAAAAAAATTTTGTTAAAGAACAACAACTTAAAAGGAGGTAGCCCAGACATCCTTTGGGTCTAGTAATGGCCATAATTGGAACATACATGTACCATATTATTTATCTGGGTGTTTGGAAAAAGGAAACACAGAAATAAGAATTTGAAATTTGTTATTACCCTAACTTTTTCTTTTCTGATTTTAAAAGTGGTGCATGCCTACTAATGAGAGCTTGGAAATACAAAATAGCATGTAAAATAAACAATTATCCACAAGTAGTAATAAATAAATACCTTTCTTACCAATATTTTCTCTTGTGTATGTAATGTGTTTGTGTATGTGTGTGTGTATGTGTGTAAGAGAGAGATTAATAATGGATCATACAGAGTATATAATTTTTTGTGTGCTGCTTTTCTTTCAACTATTAAATCTGTTTAGTAAAGATAATTTCGCTCATACAAAACAACAACAGTTGACAACAGTCTGAAGGCTGGACACGCCATCAGAGACAGGGAGGGACTGCAGGTACTCGGAGCCCTTCCCTCATGCCCAGAGAAGACCCTTGGTGCTTCTCCACCACCTTGCCCCTGATGGAGAGGAAAGCTGAAGGATTACTGCCACCCTCTGGGACCCCCAAAAGACCATGGCACAAAGGCCTTCTCCTCATGTGGCCCATTAATACTAGGGAAGTGCCTCCCCACCCTCCCCACCCTCCCCTCACTGGCCTGGACACCGGAAACTAAGTTGTTTGGGGAGGGGGTGAAGTGGCTCATGGGGAAGGACCAGATTCTGGACGTCTTTGGTGTAAACACTCCCCCAGCCATCTAATAGGCCACAGTGGAAATTTGCAGGGCCACAAAAGTGGTGCTGCCTTTGCCCACAAGCTGATTTTTTTTAACTTTCAAAACATTTTATTTATAATAATATTTTGACATATTATTTCTCGTGTGGTACAAAAGTATTACGTACTTAAACCTGTCAGCCAGATAGAACTCTTTCCATTCTTCAAGCCAACTTTCCTCAGAGGCAAATAAATAAGAAACAAAGTATATTCTGTAGATCATACACAGAAAAATTTCCTTTACAAGAACAAAAATATTTAGACATGTTATATTTAGTGTAGCTTAGCATTCCAGTTTATGTTGATAACTTCAGTTAGTTGGAGTTACATCACATATGCAGAAGAACTCAACATACAGCAGATAGTTTAACTCTTGATTAAGGACAAAACATCTGACAGGAGTTTTTTTCTTGTATTTTTTAAAAGATACTCCATTTGTAAATTCAAGTTTGGTTGGCCCTTTTTAATCTTTTTGTTCAACATTTTGAACACTTCCATTTTTTTCATTTTGTAGAGCCTTTGAACTTGGTCTCTCTCATTTTCTACTCTCAAATTCTTGTTTCCTAGCAGCACACTTAGCTGGTGCTTATCCGTGTCTTTCTTCTGCTTTTCCATTTGATAGTTTCTTTTTCTTTTTCTTTGGAATAGTAATGAAGTTTATACTTTTGCTATGCTGTTCAGGCTGAGCTGGTCAGTGTTCTTCCGACAAAGCCTGGGCAAAGTAGCATTGTTACTTCTGGAAACGGCTGATCAACTTGTTCTTCTGACAAAGGCTGGTTAACTCTTCTAAATTGCTTCCTGAGCCTTTCCTCTTCATCTAATTAGAGATGTTTCAGATTATCTAAGCACCCATCTGTGAACTGGGATTCCTATGAGGTTTGAACTCTCTTCCCCTTCTGTAGCAATTTTTGTAATTTTGCTGAAGCTTCAGTTTTCTTGAAACGTAAAGCCTGTCCATCAGGAATGCTCCCTGCAAAAGAAAGCGAATGGTTAGGCCACCACATTCTTTGTTCAAATTTATTATTCCTGAATCTGATGAAAATCTCCTTTGCCACATGTTCCCAAACTCCGAGTCCGCCTTGCTACCACCTCTCTGGCACCGTGGCACATCAATCATGTCCAAAGTCTTACTTCTTCTACTTAACATTATGGGAGGAGATTCTTCCTGGGTTTTTAAATATTCTTCCAAAGTGTGATTGTTTTTTTCCTCTTGCCTGCACAATGTGCAATCAAAGGACTGATCCC